AGTTCAATCCCCAGGACTGGCAGAAAAAATGAAAAAAGAAACCAGAATATTAAAAGCAAATGAATGTAAATTATGAAATAAGAGGTAGTCAATATTACTAATTCCTTCTACCAATATTTATTGAGTGGATACTAGGTGCCAAGCACTGGTCCACCTGCCAAGAGTACAATGGTAGAAAAAAGTCTTAAAGAGCTTGCATTTGTATGAAAAGACAGAAAATTATTTCAAATAGCAGTACACATAAAGAAAACAAGAGGCTAAGAGGATAGAGAAGGGGGAATGATTATTTTAGTTTATATTTTGTCAGTTCTGGGTCTGGGCACAGGGCCTCAGCAATTCAGCTCAAGGCTAACACTCTACCATTTCAGTCACAGCACCACTTCTGGTTTTCTGGTGGTTTATTGGAGATGAATCTCATGGACTTTCCAGCTCAGCTGGCTTTGAACTGCGATCCTCAGATCTTGTCAACCTCCTGAGTAGCTAGGATTACAGGCATGAGCTACCAGTGCCTGGCTAGATGATTATTTTAGATTGAACAGAGAAGGAGCAACTAGCTCTCCAGAAGATGATATTTGAACTAAATGAGTCAGCCATGATAAGACCTAGAAAATAGTGCTCCAGGTAGAGAGAATATCAAGGACAAAACTTCATAGGCAAGAACTATTCCAGTATGTCAAAGAAATGGAGGAGGGAGGGGGAGAATTATACAAGAGATCACAGAGGCAAAGGAGCCTTGGAGGTAATGGTTTCACTATAAGCTCAGTGGAAAGATTTTATTTTTAGTTTTTACTTTTGGGTCTGGTCGTGGGGCCTGAACTCTGGGCCTGGGCACTGTCCCTCAGCTCTTCAGCTCAAGGCTAGTGCTCTACCACTTGTGCCACAGCACCACTTCCGGCTTTTTTTTTTTTTTTGCTTATGTGGTGCTGAGGAATCGAACCCAGGGCCTCAGGCATGCAAAGCAAGCGCTCTACCACGGAGCCACCTTCCCAGCCCCAAGTGGAAGGATTTTAAAAGTACCATTGCTATTTTAGGCATCTGGAAATAAAGAGAGGGTGGCTTGGGCTGAAGTTTGTAAAGGGGGGGTGGGACATTGGGGAAAGTAGCTAAATTTGGAACAAAGCAAAGAGTGAGCTAATTCCAAGAGTGGTAGACACCCAAATAGCTTTGGCTATACCTGAGCCTCTTCTTCACTATCCAGGTCCTGATTTTGCTTAAAAATTTGCTCTTCTACTTGGTCCTCAGTTTTTTTCCCCCTTTCCTTCTCTCTCTCCAATCTTCCCTTCTCCATTTTCCTTCCATCTCTTTGTGTGTGTGTGTGTGTGTGTGTGTGTGTGTGCGTCTGTGTCTGTGTGTCTGTTTATGTGTAACTAGGGCTTGAACTCAGGGCTTCTTACTCTTGTCTTTTCTGCTCGAGGCTGGTGCTCCTTCACTTGAACCACACCTCTATTTCTGACTTTGTGCTGGTTAATTGAAGATAAGTCTCTTAGATTTGTCTGCCCAGGCTAGCTTTGAATCTTCATCCTCAGATCTCAGCCTCCTGAGTGGCTAGGATTACAAGTGTGAACCACAAGCACTCAGGCTTTTCTTCCTTTTTCACTTTTATTTTAGGAACTGCTTTAAGGAGAAGCTTTTTTCTCTCTGACAAGAGAAGGGGGTGGGCGGGAATGTGGCTTAGTGGTAGAGCACTTGCCTAACATGCATGAAGCCCTCAGTACCACATAAACAGAAACAGAAGTGGCACTGTAGCTTAAGTGGTAGAGCGCTACCCTTGAGCAAAAGAAGCTCGTAGACAGTGTCCAGGTCATGAGTTCAAGCCCCAGGACTGGCAGAAAGAGAGGAAGAGAGAGAAAGACAGAGGGAGGGAGGGAAGAAGGGAGGGAAGAAAGGAGGGAAGGAGGGAGAGAAGGAAAGGGAAGGAGGGAGGGAGGGAGAGGATGGGGAATACAATGCCATATGAGGACCTGGCATTTGGGGACTGCATCTATCTTGTGATCATGAGAGAAAATGTCATAATGCCAGAACAGAAAGCTGGAAATACCGGAGTTATTGGTGACATCACTGAATCAAGCCTGGAACTGCCCTACCCAGTGATTTTAATAGGATAATGAATAGCCTCATTGTTTAAGCTACTATTAGTTATGCTTTCCATTATCTGCAGCCAAACAATTCTAGTAAAGGAGAAGAAGGGAAGAAGAAAGAAATACAATCCTAGATACTTAGCATCTAGATTCTTAAGCACTTGGGTTTGAGTGATGTTCACTTAGACTGGAATACCTGGAAACAGGTTTGTCAAGGAGTGGATGAGGGCAGAAATGGCAGGTTCCACTGTGACTATGCTCTGGACTTTCCGATGGTGATGTTAAGAAGGCAAATACAGCCGGTTGCTAGTGGCTCACACCTAGCTATTCAGGAGACTGAGATCTGAGGATCACAGTTGGAAGCTAGCCCCAGGAAGAAAGTCCATGAACTCTTATCTCCAATAAACTACTCAAAAAAAATCCAGAAATGGCACTGTGGTTCAAGTGGTAGAGTGCTAGTCTTGAGAACAGAAAGGCTCAGGCCCCAGGATAGCAAGGAGGAGGAGGAGGAGATATAGGAGGAAGTGGCAAACACATGATTCTGAAGTCCAAGGGATTCAGAAATGCAGACAGAAGTGTGAATCATCACCTTATCATGGACATGCATGGTTTTATTCTTTCATCATTATGTTAGGATATAGGCTCTCAAGTTCTTTCTGAAGAGTCTAGATGTTGCTATTGTGTGTCTGTGTCTGTGTGTGTGTGTGTACTTGGGGCTTGAACCCAGGGCTTGAGCATTGTCCCTAAGCTGTTTTGCTCAAGACTGCTATGCTACCACTTGAGCCACAGCACCACTTCCAGCTTTTTCTATGAATGTAGTATTGAGGAATTGAACCCAGGGCTTCATGCATGCTAGGCAAGTACTTTACCACTAAGCCACATTCCCAAACCTACAGTAACTTTTTTTTTTTGGTCAGTCATGGGGCTTGAAGTCTGGGCCTGGACACTGTCCCTCAGCTCAGCTCTTCAGCTCAGAGCAAGAGCTCTACCACTTGAGCCACAGAGCCACTTCCAGTTTTCTGAGTGGTTTATTGGAGATAATCTCATGGACTTTGCTGCTTTGAACCATGATCCTCAGATCTCAGCCTCCTGAGTAGCTAGGATTACAGGTGTGAGCCACCTTGAACTTGGCCTGTGCACTGTTCCTGAGCTGCTTTTTGCTCAAGGCTAACATTCTACCACTTGCAGTACAGCGCCACTTCTGGCTTTTACTGTTTATGTGGTACTGAGGGATCAAACCCAGGGCCTCATTCATGTGAGGCAAGCACTACATTTCCAGCCCCTACAATAACTTTTTATAGTGGACATTTAAACATATACCCTAAAATGGAGATACTATAAAACCCTTAGCTGGGCATAATGGCACACATTTGAAATCCCAGCATTCAGGAGGCTGAGCAGGATAATTAATTTGAGGACATCCTGGGCAGCTTAGTGAGGCCATGTCTCAAAAATTAATAAGTAAATGCACAAAGCAAATCTCATATCACACCTTCAAAATCAAGGGTTCCAGAGATTAATATGGGAGCATCTTGGGGTAGGGAAATTACTCTGCTACCATAGTTGTTAAATGGGAATGCAGAGCCTGTTTTCCCACAGTAGACTAGACATCTTGGATTTTACATGCAGAAGAGCCTGCTGGCTGAGACTGCTGTTCTTAGTCCTGCTTGCAAGCTTGCCCCACGCTTGGCATCTGGGAATCTAGTTCTTAGTTTTTTCTGGTCAACAGTTAACTGATAAGGATGGATCGTTTTACCTAGACTGTGTCAACAATAGGGCTTATGCCAAATATCTGCTTTCCTTTTAGGAGTCTGGAATTTGGGTACCAAATTGGGTATCATGTGCCAACTAGCCCAGGGACTCTGTCTCCTGAATTTTGGGATAGCTAAACAACAACAACCACAAACCCCCCAAGTACAGCAAGTCAGGGAAAACAGAAATAGCTTTTGAAAAAGAAATAGCCTTTAAAAAAGAAAGTGACAGGTGGGCACCGGTGGCTCAGGCCTGTAATCCTAGCTACTCAGGGGGCTGAGATCTAAGGATCGTGGTTTGAAGCCAGTCTGAGGAAGAAAATCTGTGAGTCTGATCTCCACTAAATCACACACACACACACACACACACACACACACACACACACACACACGAAGGAAGAATGGCTTCTGCTGAAAATGCCAAGGGCTTAGCGAGGTTAGGGCACTTGCCAAGGCCTTACGGGGCGCTCTCCTGGCTCCGCGCTCCGCAGCTCTGGCTGGAAGGCAGGCAGGTGGCTGTGGCGAGGGCTCACTGATAGTGACGGCGCTGATGACGGACCACTGACCCGGGGAGCCGAGGCGGATTTCCCGGGTTGGGCTCTGCGGGGGCTCGGCTCGGTGGGACAGTCTAAGGGATGGGCACCTTGGGGCTCAGGCTGTGCAGCTCTCGGTCCTCGACCGCCCGGCCAAAGCCTGCGGTCCCCGCCGGGGACCAGCAGACGGCGTGCGGCTGGAAGGGGGTCGAGGAGGTCCGGCCGGAGAAGCCGCACAGCTGGGCAGAGCCTCCAAGGAGGCGGGCCTGGGAGGACACCGGCCAAGGCTGCGGGCAGCCACCTCACCGGTTCAGCCCCGCGTCCTCCAAGTCGGAACACCTGGACCAGCGCCCGCACGACGCCCGTGCAACCGAGCCGCGTCCCTTCAGCGCCCCCGCCTCGGGCCCGCGGAATCTGGGGTGTCGCCTCAAAAGGGGGAAAGAAGGGGTAAAGTCCGAGCCGTTCGGCTTCCTCCGAACCCGACAGGTGAGGGTCCAGGACGCGGCAGGGGAGGGAACCCGGCTGGGCGCAGCCCCTCGAGGCGGCCCATCCTTTGGGGGCGTGGCCTGCAGGCCTCCCTGCCCCCCCAGCGGGCGGGGGACGCGCGCGCCCCGCCTCCCCGACTTATAAGGTCGGTGCGGCACTGCAGCTAGCGCAGTTCTCACCGAGACCCGTCACCCCGACTCAACGTGAGACGCACCTTCCAGAGTCATCATGGTGAGTGCGGCCCCACCGCGATCGCGCCCGTGCCCGAACTGTCCGTCTTGTTGGGGGGAAGCTTCCCTCCGGGGATGCTCGGGGGCCCTCCACCCAGCGTCCCGGGTCTCGGGGAGGTGGAAGGCGTGTGCACTCCCGCCAACCCCTCCTGGTGACTTTGGCCTAGTGCGTGGTTCACCTTCCGAGGCCAGGGTAGGGGGTGGGGTGGAGTTCTTCAGGAGCCGAGGGGAGCCCTGCTGGCACTCCCCTCCTCCCGCACCAGACGTCTGCGCCCCAACCCCCTCGTGGGGAGTCACGCGACCCGGTCTGTGCCCAGTCCTTTGGGTCGGAGGAAGGCCTGCCTGGCTGCCCCTGCCCCCGTACCCCTACCCCCTAGTCCCGGGAACCGGCCGAACACGTGCTTGGGGCAAGAAGGTGAAAGAGGGTCAGGGTACTTGGTGCGGCATCCCCTCCTTCCCCCGACTTTGTGCGTCTCCCTCACACCCAAGAGCTCCCCCTCCCGTGACTCAGCACCCCGCTTCCGAGCTGGGAGGGATGGCGGGAAGGGGGTCCGGTCTTGTGAGGCCAGCTGTCCCCTCTCCTTCCGGAGCGCGGGTGCGCGGAGGACGGGCAGAGACAGCTGGCGCTGGACGACAGCGCCGGCCGAGGCCAGGTTGGGAGGGGGGAGAGGTGTGTGGGGAGGTGGTATTTATAGCCCTGGAGCGGGGGCGGAAACCCAATCCCTGATTTTGGCTGGGAAGTAACTGGAAAGACTCCCGAGGGAGAGCAGAGGTAGGGTCCGGGTGCGGAATGGCGCTCACCCCGACCCGGGCAACGCAGGTGTTACCTCTGGGGCCTCACCGCAGGTTCCGCTTCCTTTTCTGGGTATTTAGAAATGTTCACCCCGCCATTTCGTTGTGGAAGGGAGACGCGCGGGCCCTGTGGACTTCGGTGCTGCAGGGGTTAATTTTGGATTGTCAGGGACTGAGGCCTTAAGGCAGGGAATGCCCCAGTATCCACAACTCTCATTGCCCGACTCAGCTGTCTGTGCTTACCAGCATTACCACTGCTAATTCTGTGCCGGCTGACGCGGTGGATGGAGGTGGTGAAGCCACCGAGATGGGGGTGGGGGGTGGAGGAGGGGAGAGGAGCCAGATGGGATTTAAAGGTGGGGGAAGAGGGCATCCTGATGACGATTGTGATCACCTGACACCAGATTGGAAGGCTGAGACATCAGCCTTTGCACATAGGAATGGAGGGGAAGGTGTCAGAAGAAATTCTAGTTGTTGATCCTCAAAGCACATAATTTAACCAAGTAAGGAGACTCCTCGATGTAAACCAGAAAAGCCTTACCTCTTCTTGGGCTCTTTAGAAGCTGGGTTTATGGACAGCAGAGTGGCAGCTCCTGGGATCTCTTATCCTTGTCTGGGTTACTGCAGCGCCTGCCTGTCTCAGGTGTGACCTCTCTGTCCTCGCTGAACGTCCTTTGAGTGGGGAAGGGTCATTTAGGAATCACAAATTCCCCATTGAGAAGTTGGTCTACATGCCTGCCTCCAATCTGGGGAGTCCTGGGCAGGGGAGCCTGGAAAGGCTGCTAGCCACTTCTGACCTCTGCCAGCCCCAAGCCTCCCTTTTGCCAAATGAGTCACACAAGCTGGTACATGATAGAGTAGTAGAGAGGCTCATGAGGTGAGGGCTGGGGGTGCAGCATCTATGTTTCAACTGACCCCTCTCTTTATCCTTCAGCGTGAATGCATCTCAGTCCATGTGGGGCAGGCAGGTGTCCAGATGGGCAATGCCTGCTGGGAGCTCTATTGCCTGGAACATGGGATTCAGCCTGATGGGCAGATGCCCAGCGACAAGACCATTGGTGGAGGGGATGACTCTTTCACCACCTTCTTCTGTGAAACTGGCGCTGGAAAGCATGTGCCTCGGGCCGTCTTTGTGGATCTGGAACCCACTGTAATTGGTGAGAAGATGGGGCATGTTTGAGGGAGGTGAAAGGTTTCACTTTTGAGAGGGCATCTAGACCAGTTTTCCTGCTGTTGAATATTCCCTGCCAGTTTGGCATGGGCAGTGCAGGTCTGAGTTTCTCTCATACTCTCATATCTCAGGCTGGCAGAAGGATGAGTTAGCTCTTCCATCTATCTAGATGCGGTTACCACTCTGGGGGGGGGGGGGACCACACAGCCTTGTGTTTTTTTTACCCTAACAATGTAATGTCTGTCTTTTTAGATGAGATCCGAAATGGCCCATACCGACAGTTGTTCCACCCAGAGCAGCTCATCACTGGGAAGGAGGATGCTGCTAACAACTATGCCCGTGGTCACTACACCATCGGCAAGGAGATCATTGACCCTGTGCTGGACCGGATCCGAAAGCTGGTAAGAATTCAGCCTGGTAGTGAGGGAGCTTTACAGACTATGTTAATGGTCAGACCCCTTTTATAAGATCATCTCTTAACTGCACATGTTCTAGAATGTGATGCCAACATGAGATACCCTTTCATTTTGACCCTTAAGTATTGTAAGCTTCATGGAGCTTTTAAGAGAGTTCCTCAGTCCTATCTACATTGCTTTTTCTTGTCTTTCAGTCTGACCAATGCACAGGACTTCAGGGCTTCCTCGTATTCCACAGCTTCGGAGGGGGCACCGGCTCTGGCTTCACCTCTCTCCTGATGGAACGGCTCTCTGTGGACTATGGCAAGAAATCCAAGCTGGAGTTCTCCATCTACCCAGCCCCCCAGGTGTCCACAGCCGTGGTGGAACCCTACAACTCCATCCTGACCACCCACACCACCCTGGAGCACTCAGACTGTGCCTTCATGGTGGACAATGAAGCCATCTATGACATCTGTCGCCGCAACCTGGACATCGAGCGCCCAACCTACACCAACCTCAATCGCCTCATCAGCCAAATTGTCTCCTCCATCACAGCTTCCCTGCGCTTTGATGGGGCCCTCAACGTGGACCTGACCGAGTTCCAGACCAACCTGGTGCCCTACCCTCGCATCCACTTCCCCCTGGCCACCTATGCGCCAGTCATCTCGGCAGAGAAGGCCTACCACGAGCAGCTGTCGGTGGCAGAGATCACCAATGCCTGCTTTGAGCCTGCCAACCAGATGGTGAAGTGTGACCCGAGACATGGCAAGTACATGGCCTGCTGCCTGCTGTACCGCGGAGATGTGGTGCCCAAGGACGTCAATGCCGCCATCGCTGCCATCAAGACCAAACGCAGCATCCAGTTTGTGGACTGGTGCCCCACGGGTTTCAAGGTTGGCATCAACTACCAGCCTCCCACTGTGGTTCCCGGGGGTGACCTGGCCAAGGTGCAGCGTGCGGTGTGCATGCTGAGCAACACGACCGCCATTGCTGAGGCCTGGGCCCGCCTGGACCACAAGTTCGACCTGATGTATGCCAAGCGGGCTTTTGTACACTGGTATGTGGGTGAGGGCATGGAGGAGGGTGAGTTCTCTGAGGCCCGGGAGGATATGGCTGCTCTGGAGAAGGATTATGAGGAGGTGGGCATCGACTCCTATGAGGACGAGGATGAGGGAGAAGAATAGACAGCTACCTAGAGCCTATTCAGTATGTTTATTGCAAAATCCTTTCGAAATAAAGTCTCTTTGCATGACTTCTTGTTCTCTTTGAATGATGAGTTTCTGTTGCTTCCCCATTAAGATTGCTGCCATCCTATTTGCTGCTTTTCCTTCCCAAGGCTTATGGTGAAACTTGCCAAGGGGCCCTTACCAGACCCAGGAAGGACAATGGAGGGACCTTCATGCAAGGTCCCAGAGGAGGGAGGAAATGAAGATCAAATCCTGGGTTTATTTGTCCAGCCACACTATTGAAAAATACAAGTCTTCATTTCCTTCCAAGTAGAACTTGATGTCCAGCAGTTTGAGTTGGACTAAGACCCTGTTCTTCCTTTGCTTCTGCATTCACCAACTCTGAAACCAACACTTGGCCCTGGCTCCTGTGTACACTATGAGGGTTTGGGAATGGGGTTGGCCCGGCCCAAGGTTTCTGGGCATGGAGCCATCTCATAAGTTTGGGGGATGGGCAGGAACAAGAGCAAGCTAGTTTGTGCTATTGCACCTTTTAGCAGCTTTGCTGGGGCTATGCCATTAAAAGTCAGGTTTGTCTCCTCTGTGCTTTCTTTCAGCCCCAGCTTCCACGTCAGCTGGTGGGAGCCTCCTGCCTGGGCCCTGGGGAAAAATTCAGCTTTGCTAATAGGCACCCCAGGACCCAGGCTGACGTCAGCACATGGGGGTGGGCATGGTTGGTGGGGGAGAGGAAGCTTCGATCTCAAGAGTAGATGGCAACCTTGCCCTGTGTCCCTGGTGATTCAGGAACACAGTGCCCTTCCTTGGGGAACAGGACTCAAGCACAGCTAAGGCAGGGCGCCTGTTTACTCAGCAGAGTAGGCAGGAAGTGGCTACTGGATAATGTCACACAGCACTAGCCTCATAAATTATTAACCATGCGTAAGCCAGGAAAATCAGGGAAGACACGACCCAAATGGCTGTCAGTTCCTCTCCCCTTTCCCCCAGGCTAAGGATGGGAGGCCGGTTACCCAGCCGTCCCAAAGCTTCCTCAAATATCTCCACCCATAACTCCTTGGCCTGGCAAACTGGCTAGGCTGCTTTGACTCAGCTACCCACACAGCAGAGTGAAGGAAGGAAGGAATTATTTGACTTTGCTTTAAGGGAACCCAGGTCCCAATTCTTGGCAAAAGTAGAAGCCAGATCAAGCAGCTGTAAGTTTTGACGAAGGATAGTTAGACCTCCTCAGTGCCAGCCCATCTGGTCTCAGGTAAGGATACCTGCCTCCTTAAATGAAATAATGAAGTCATTATTGTACCAGGCCCTCTTCCCAGGATGTTCTCTTGGAGATGGCAATGACACTCTAGGCTCATTGCACCCCTTTTCTCCCTCCAGACACACTGGTACTAAGAGGCATACCAACCTGCTTTCACTTTATTCTCCTGTTTAGATATTCTCCTGCCCCCACATTTGGATGCAGAACATGATATGAGCCCAGCAGTCCAGCTCAGAGCTATATAACATACTTTGTTCCACTTTCCCCACCCCACCCCACCCAGAGTCAGCCCCTTGCTCAGAACAGACATGGGATTGAGATAGCGTGGTCCCCACCCCTGTCCTCTGTAAGAGCAGTCCTAGTAGAAATGACAAGAGTTCCCATGATCATGAGAGCCTCTTTCCAAATCACAAGGGGCCACCCTCTCCACATGGCCACCGATGTGTTCATATTTGAGTGGTATGCTGGCCAAGAGTTGGAGGCTGCAGTGCCTCCAACTGACTGAGGAGAAGAGGAATGTGAGGGCGTTGTTGGGGGTCCACAGTCATCATGGAGGTTAGCAGCTGCCGCAGGGCTGGAGAATGCCTGTGGAGGGAAGAGGGCAGGTAGGGTGACTGGAGAAAAGTTAGCCCCTTGCTAAGACTCCAACTTAGCTAACCCCAGGGAAGAGTCTGAAATGCTGATGGTCCTTTTATTGCTGACTCACCTGGGACTTTGTGGGATGTTGAGTTGGTTCTGAACAGCAAGGGCCACACTGTCACCCTTCTGGAATACCATGTCATAAGGGCCTTCCCCAAACATCATGGCATAAAGCACACAACCTAGAGACTGAGTATAACATGGTTAGTTCTTGAACGGGGACCAGTAGAAAGAATACCTCTCTCCTTTCTGCTGGGTGAAAGGATACTATGTAAACTAAACCGCTAAGGCTCAGAGAAACTGCAATTAGTTGGAGGCTTCAGCCTTGACATGGAGCTGCCCCCACCCAGTTCAGTGGTGGGGATGAGACCACTTCCTGAGCAATAGTCTGACAGTTCTCAGAAAGGAAGTTGAGAGGTATGGGGACATATGAGGTTCCTTACCCCATGCAACAGAAACCAAAGGCCTCCTCCCCTCTAGTCCACACTAGAACTTTCCCCTCTGTACCCACATGCTCCTCACCCACACATCAGTCCGCTCATCAATGACACAGTAGCTCTGCACAGAGAAGAGTTCTGGGGCCCGGTAGGAGATGGTGCACCTCTGTGCTGCCCAGTCCTGGAACAAGTAGCCCAAGCTCAGAAGTGGGTCACAAGCTAGAGTCATATAACCAAATTGGGGCATCCACCAGAAGGAGTTAGGGATGGGGAGCAAGTAGGAAAAGTAATCCAGGGACTTACTTGCAGCGCTAGGGCCTGTCGGGAGCCCTCCACATGAATACATGCTTGATTCATAGAACCTAAGTCCATTAAAACTGGCTGCTCCTCATCTCCAAGCAAAATATTGGTGGGCTTCAAGTCCCTGGGGAAAAGTAAAAGTGAATATCTGTGCTAAGAGCACCTGTGGACAAGAAGTTGAGAATCCCAGTAAGTAAAAGAACCATAGAAGCTTTCTCTAGGAGGAAAACAGACTGGTTCTTTTGTCAAGTCTCTTCCTCTTAGTCCCAGCAAGTATATAGAGCACTCCCACTAACCTGTGAGCATAACCTTTGGCATGAATGGCCTCCAAGCCTCTGCAGATACCAAGGAGCAGCCGAAGGATTTGATCCTCAGTCAGGAAATTGCCTTGATCCTTCAGCCTTTCTATTTCATTCCACAGTGTGCCTCTCTACAACAGAAGTTTTCCTGCAGTTGAGATGTTACTGAAGTCTTTGCTCCCTGGGCCTAATCCTTACCCTAGATCAAAGCCTAGCAACTCTTTCACCGAATACATCTTTACCCCATTGTTCTACCTGGGTTCCTCTAAAACACAAACTGACTTTTTTTGTTTCTTGACATGGTCTACAGGTTTGCTTCAAACTCAGTCAGTAGTCCAAGTTGGCTCTGAATTCTCCATCCTCCTGCCTCAGCCTCCAGAGTGCTGAGATGACAGGCATGTACCATGAAGTCCAGCCATAAATTTCCTTTCTCCCCCCTCCAGTACTAGGGAGTGAACCCAGGCCCTCACATATTAGACAAGTGTTGTACTATTGAGTCATGTCCCCAACCCTAAATCCCAAATTCAATGTGGCCAAAGCCAGGGCATAGCCCCTGTTCATACAAGCTTAATCAGTTCATACAAGCCTACTTGGTAGGTAGCTCTTTCAAAACCCCCTCCCACCATAACAAGAAAGCTTTCTTACCTTGAAGAAAGGTAGCAGCAGCCAGGCCTCATACTTAGCACCCCGCTCTCTCAGAGAGTAAGCCATGAGGTGAAGGATGTTGGGGTGATGAAAGAGGCGATGCATGTTGGCTTCTCTCTGGGCCTCCTCCCGGTCCTGCTGCTCGTGACATAGGATTCGCTTCAGGGCGTAGAAGTGTCCATCATGTAACCCCTCCACTAGGTCCACATAGCTGAACCCACTGTGGGCCAAAGGGGTCAGTGAAGGACCATGGTCACCTCCCATATAGCCTGGACCCCGAGGAGTTCCCTGGGGAGAGGGGGCGTTAATCTCTTCAAACTGAGCAGAAACCCTCCCCAGATGTGCTCTAAGAGAAGTTAGAAAATTTTTACAATTGAGCTCTTCTAGAGTAGGGACACAAAAAGCACTAAGGTCCTATAGTCCTAACAGTGCTCTGCACATGACAGATGCTGGTAAAAGTCAATATTTATAGTCAAATAAAGTCATTATTTATCAAGTATGACCAGGGAACAGGTAAGACATTATTGCAGCTAATCACACAAATCCCCTCAGTGAAGCGTTACAATCATCTCTATTGAGCAGATGAATAAATCATGGCTTACCAAGGTCACACAAGGTCAATCTAAGAGGCCTGGGTTCAAAATCCATTTCCTGACCCATTAAGGTGAGGTAGTGAATAGATATTAAGCCCTTGTTCCCCTAGCATGTGCAGACTGACTGTAGTCCCTCACTGACCATTACCTTGAGGACTGGCTAAATAATTTCCAAACACTCACCCCTCCCCCAGTTTCTGGATGAAGAGGTAACGCTTATTGTCAATGATGACAGTTCCCCGTGAGCAGATACACAGTGAGTGGCCCATAATGTCTCAATCATTCTCCTCAAGGATGGTCTCTGGTCCCTGGTGAGCGAGCTTTTCTAGGCGATGCACTGAATGCCCAGCGGATCATGCTAGAAGGAAAACAACAGCAAGTTTCAGATCCCGCACCATCCAGATGGTTCCTGGAGTAGCACTGCGGAGATCTCAGGCCCAGGCCTCAAAACCTAGATTCCCTTCTGAAGAAGACAGGGCCTGGCATCGCTGTCTACAAGAATGCTGGGATCAGGCCATGCCGTGTCTTGTCCAGAGAGGCTTCCTTCAACCCCGGCCCACCTTCGGATGGGCCCTGCTCCCACACCCGTCTAGTCGCAAAGGCGGGACATATGGTGGCCCTTAGAGGAGGTGCAAGGCTTGGGCCCAGAGCCCGCTCGCCCGCCTCTCGGCGCGGAGCCCACAGCCTGCAGGCCGGCACTACCCAACACTGACCTGGCTCGGGCCGGAACGAAGAGCCTGGGACCGGAAGCCGTGCAGACGTCATCACTCCGCGACGGAGTAACGGTCTACCGTATCCTAGCAACTACTGGGCATCCGGAGGATGTGGGAGCTTCGAATTGTGAGGCTGGGGGCGGGCTAGACCCGGGAGAGGGTTTCCCCACTTGGCTCCAGTAGGGGTCAAGCCGCAGGCACTTACGCCAAAGGGGAGCAGAGCTGGGCTCGGCCCGAGGCCCCCAGGACCTCCTGCTCCCAATGACGGAGGTAGGAGGCCTCATACCTCCCGCGCGCTGGGGTCAGAAAGCGTCTCACGACAGCCCCGGGAGGGTCGGGTGCTGGCGGCCTGGACCCGTGGATCTCACACCACCTTCAGGGCCCAGGCCCGTATCCCACCACCCTAGTGTCAGTGGTAAAAAGTTCGCTTGAGCCGGTTTTTAAGTCTGGTCCCATTAGCCTCCTAGCTGTTGGAGCAACAGCAAGTTACTTAGGTCCTCACTTTTCCTAGCTGTAGAACAGACCCGATATAATACCGCAGGGTTAAGTGAAGGAACTGTGAAGCCTAACTGACTAGTTCCAATCTCAGCTAAACTAGTTTAGCCTTGGACAGGCTGCTTAATATTTCAGTCCTTTAGTTTTCTTATCTGTAAAATGAAAATGGAATTTCATAGAATTGTGTAAAAATTGAGACATAATGTGCTTCACACAGTATCTGACACAGAGCCCACAGTAAGTGTCAATAAACAGGAATAGGGCTGGGAAAATGGCTCAGCGGTAGAGCACTTGCCTTGCATGCCTGAGGCCCTGGGTTTGATTCCTCAGCACCACATAAGCAAAAAGAAAAAAGCCGGAAGAGGTGGTGTGACTCAAGAGGTAGAGCGCTAGCCTTGAGCTGAAGAGCTGAGGGACAGCACCCAGGCCCAGAGTTCAGGCCCCATGACTGGACCCCCCCCCAAAAAAATAAAAAATAAACAGGAATAGTCATTACCCTGTTCCTTCTCTCCCAGGCTTGGAATTATGAAAGCAGTAGGAATGGAAATTCACAGACGCCCAAGGCTTGGTACCAAACAGTAGTCTTTGACAGTTCTTGCCTAGATAGGGATATGTTGTACAGACACAAACACACCCACACCCACACACAATTTTTTTGTGCCATTCCTGGGGCTTGAACTCAGGGTTAGGGTGCTTTACTACTTGAGCCACAACTCCACTTCTGGCTTTTTTGGTAGTTAATTGGAGATAATTCTCACAAGCTTTCCTACCCTGGCTGGCTTCAAACCACAATTATCAGTAACCTCAATCCTGAGTAAATAGGATTACAGACATAAGCCACTGGTACCTGGCTATATATAATTTGGGGGGGGGTCGTGAAACTCTGAGCACTGTCCCTAACCTCTTCAGCTCAAGGCTAGTGTTCTACCACTTGATTCACAGTACCACTTCTGGTTTTCTGGTGGTGTTTGCTGGAGATAACAGTTTCTTGAAAAAAAAAAAAAAAGAGTTTCTTGGACTTTCCTGCCTGGGCTGGCTTTGAACCATGATCCTCAGATCTCAGCCTCCTGAGTAGCTAGGATTACAGGCATGAGCCACCAGCACTGGGCTATTTAATTATTAAACTGATTCAGAACTCTCCAGGAAAAAAAAAAAGGTTGTTCTTGTAACCTGATTCCTTGACTTCTACATCCATGATCATAGTGAAGATTTTTCCTATGATTTCCATTTGGTTCTGAAGTTGTTTCAGTCCTTGCTTCTGACAATCATTTAGATTTGACCCACTACATACCAGGCCCTGTGTTAGATGCTGAGGATTCAAGGTGGACAAAACACTCAAGTACTCAGGGAGCCTAATCTAGTAGAGCAATGCTTCTCAATCTTAAATATGCTTAGGATGGCCTAGGAATCTTGCTAAATTACAAATTCCAATTCTGTAGGACTGAAATGGGACCTGAGAGTCTACATTTCTTTTTTCTTTTGAGAGGGTGGAGACATTTGAACTCAGGGCTTGCACTTGCTAGGCTCTGCTATATGAGTCCCCAGCCCTATTTCTCAGGCAGGGTCTAGCCTTTGCTTGGGACCGGCATCAGACAGAAATCTCCCAACTTCTGCCTCCTCGTAGCTGGGATGACACGCATGAACCACCACATTCCTGCAAGAACTGCACTTTGAGTAGCAAGTGTAGAGAACTTTACAAATTAGTAGTGAGGTGGGTGGCTGAAGGACCAAGTTCAGCTTAACTGCCTAGAAACGAGGTGGTTACCGCCCCCTTGCTCGCTGAGGTTCCCTCCCAGGAATCTGACACGTGACGATCGGACGGACGGCTCAGACTGGAGGAGCCCTGGAAGCGCCATGGCTCGGAAGAAGCGGCCCTGTCTTCTTCCCTCCCTGCTGCTGCTGCTTCTGACACTACTGCTGCTGCCCCAGGTAAGATCAGAGGGCAGACCCAGCGGGCCAAGTGCGGGGAGGCCAGAATCCGGAGGAAGAGAGAACACACTCCAGCGAATAGTACGCAAAGCCAATTCCACCTCCTCCGCTCTGGTCAGACACTGGCTGAGCACCAGCATTCTCTCTTTGCAGGTAGACTCTCGGTCGTTCGTAGTAGATCGGAAACACAACCAGTTCCTCCTGGACGGATTCCCGTTCCGCTACGTGTCGGGCAGTATACACTATTACCGGATACCCCGGGTGCTTTGGGCAGACCGACTTTTCAAGATGCGACTGTGCGGCCTCAATGCCATACAGTTGTAAGAAGTGCTCATGAGAGCAATGGGGGGCAGTTAGGAAAGGGGGCCAGACAGGAAGATGCCCAAGTCTGAAAAGTCTCCGGGGCTCCTGGGACAAGGGTGGAAAAGGAAGGCCCAGCACCTCCTTTTCAACTGTTTCCTGGCGGTTCCCTTCAATACTTGAGCCCTCAGACTCCCTGGCATCTCCCCATCTTGTTAACCTCTTCCTTTCTCAGTTATGTGCCCTGGAACTACCATGAGCCAGAGCCTGGGGTGTTTAACTTTAATGGCAGTCGTGACCTCATTGCCTTTCTGAATGAGGCAGCTAAAGCAAACCTGTTGGTCATCCTGAGACCAGGACCTTACATCTGTGCAGAGTGGGAGATGGTGAGTTAGTTGGAGAGGGGACAGAACCACGTGGGGTTTCTAAATAATGCCTATTTGCCTGCACTTTAGGGCCATTTATGGCACTATCCTCAACTCCTTCCCTTCTTAACTCCTCCAGTGCATCCCCAAACAAACAGAACCTACATTCTTCTTTGTTGTCTTTATGCTTTTCTCAAGGGAGGTCTCCCATCCTGGTTGCTACGAAAACCTAAAATCCATCTGAGAACCTCAGATCCAGGTGAGTTGAGACAATAGATTTAACAGAGTACAAAGCAAACAGAAAGATAGGTCTCAGCTGGGTGCTGCTGGCTCATGCCTGTAATCCTAGCTTCTCAGCAGATTGAGATCTGAGGATAGCAGTTCAAAGCCAGCCCAGGCAGGAAAGTCTGTGAGTTTCTTATCTCCAGTTAACCACCAGAAAACTGAAAGTGGAGCTGTGGCTCAAAATGGTGGAGCACTAGCCTTGAATGCAAAAGCTCAGGGATAGTGCCCAGGCCCTGAGTTCAAGCCCTACAACTAACCAAAACCAAAACAAACAAAAAAACCCAGTGACCAATATGAAGGGGATGGTACTAACCAAAATTACTACATAGACAGCTCTTGCACAGAAGTATCCCCACAGGCTAGCTTGATGATGGGGGAGAGGACATGTCAGAAGTAATCAATTTGACTAGAACTACAAAAATTCAGAGAGAATCTTTGACATGTTTGTGCTAGCTGGATTGACATTCCACTGAACCAGAAACCTATGACCAGATGAATGTACTTCTTTGGGTCCATAACCAGTAGATAATATAGAGGGTTACAGATGACTACATAGTGGTCCCACAACCTTACAGCCATGAGGAGACTTGCAGTGGTTGTCAGTACAAGGAGGAAGCACATTTGAGTGGCACAGTGCAGCCAGGATATGGTTCCATCCTGAGTCCAAATAGAATAGAATCCTTGGAAGAATGACTGATATATAACAGATTTTCAGGAAAAGAAAAGTTTGCCATGAAACAAATACATAGGCTTCTTCAGTGTAGGGTCAAATCTAGTTACTATGATTATGAGCCTGTTTCCAATTAAGATAATTATGTAAATGATGGAGAACAACCTATATAGAAATCCTTGGAGATTTGGAAAGTCAAAGTCCTGCAAGACAAATTGCTTCACCATGGAAACACTATCTTCATCATTCATGCTGCTCTCAAATATACTTGTGATGTGTTACACAGGTTTTCATCCTCTTTTTTCCCCACTTTCCCCTCTCTTTCTGAGTAGTAGCTTGATTTATGTTCTATGTTTAACTGTCTAAGTAATTAGTGATGTGACCTTTAATAGTGTTTTAGTCTGGATGTGAAGAATGGCTCAAAGGGAGCAAGGGTGAAGAAATGAATCAAGATTATTACTGTAGTTGAGATCAGAGATGATAGTTGTAGAAATGGAAAGAGCAGAATTAAGATAAAGGTTTGGAGATGAAAATCATTAGGACTTGTTGATAAATTCTGACAGCAAAGGGACAGATAGGGCTGGTATGAGTAAGAAAAGAATAAAGTTTCTGGCCAGTCAGGGTGGTGGTGCCATTTACTGACACTGTTAAAGGAGACTGTAGGTGCAGATAAACAATTCAGGGTACCTCTTACAGCTGAGCTGAATATGAAATACACCTAAAATTATGGAATAGTAATGGAATTCTAACATGGAGTCTCTTTTACTTAAAATACCAGCCGTTTGCTGGTGTACATTGTGAAATCTGTGCCCTCTTAGGCATAATCCTCCTTGACCAGTAAGAAGCACCCAGCATAGCTGATCACTCTGTCCTTTTAAATACACTTTTCTCATCTGTCATGATGTCTCACTTCCTTAGTCCCTATCCCTTCCATCTTTCTGACTACTGACCTCAATCTCTTAAGGGATCTTTCCATTTTCTTTTGACAAGGTCTCACTATGTGTAGTTTAGGATGGCCCTGATCTCCAAATCTTCCTGCCTTAGCTTCCCATATGCTGTTATTACAGGCATGTACTTCTATGCCTGACTATCTATCATCTAATGTGGACTGAGGTTTGAGCCTGAGGCCCCAAGCTTGCTAGGCAGGTGCTCTACCATTTAAACCATGTTCTAGCCCTTAAGTTGTTTAATTTATTGTCTGCCTCCATATCTAGAAAGTAAATTCCACCAGGTAAAGGCCTTTTTTTTGGTCTGTTTTGCTCCTTCTATGTCCCTGATACCTAGAACAGAGCTTGGCTGCAAGGTTAGTACCCATAAATATTGGCTGAATGCATTACTGAATGCTTATATTAAAAGAAGCAATACAACATGGACTCCTAATAAAACATAAAACAGAAAGTAATAAAATGGTTTAAGAATTGAAAAATGTCCTCTAAAACATCTCATTGAATTCACCCTTAAAAGCACATATCGGCAGAGGAAAGAGAATATATGGAGATCTTGAGGATGAATCACAGAAGTGGCAAGTAGATGAGAATTTAACACTGATTCCTAATATAATGATCTTTCAATTGCTGACTTAAATCTCTAGGACTTTACATAATAATAACCCCATATCATGTGTTTAACCTTTTTTTCTACCCCTCTTTTTTTGGGCCATCCCTGGGCCTTGAACTCAGGGCCTAGGCACTATTCCTGAGCGTCTTTTGCTCAAGACTAGCCCTCAACCACTTGAGCTACAGTGCCACTTCTGTTTCTTTATGTGGTACTGAAGAATCGAACCCAGGGCTTCATGCATGCTAGGCAAGCACTCTGCCACTAAGCCACATTCCCAGTGCTACATGTATTTTTGGTAAATACTATTTTAAGGCTTTCTATGTTGATTCAACTGCCATGTAAATTTCCATGTGTTTAGGGTTAAGAGTTTTTTCTATGTTGATTCAACTGCCATGTAAATTTCCATGTG